CTGTGGATCCTCTGGGTCGGTTTAAACAGCCAGCATTTCAGAAAGCATCCACTTATACTCAGGTTTCATTCTGGAGCTTACTAGTCTTTGGTCTTTTACTAAAGATGACATCAGGGTGGGGGTATGACAGAAAAAACTGGATAAATTATGTATATTGTATTGAAACAGATGAGGGAAAGAACAGATTAGAAGTGATATATGATTGAGTATTATGGTTAGCACAGGAATCCAGAATTAAGGTTGCATAGAGAAGTGTACTCGGGGTGGGGGGTGAGGGGAAGGGACATGGGAATTGTATACTAATGAAGGAATTTTTTTTCTTTTTTTTTTTCTCTCTTCGGAGGGGTAAGCGAGCTGGTGGGGAGGGGTGGGAAGGGAGAAAATTGCAGCAATGAATGAATGGAAATCCAAAACCTCTGTTAAAAAAATTATTAAAAAAGGAAAGAAAGCATCTACTTAACAGTGAGTAGCACCAGGGCTCCTTGCTGAGTGCTTGTAAAACACAAATCAGACCAAACCTCCTGCCGTTGATTCCAGCTCAGCACGTCTGTAGGACAAAAGAGAACCACCCTTTGGGGTTTCCAGCAGTAATCTTTACAGACGCAGCCAGCCACAACTTTCTCCCATTACGTTTAGAATCCACTTTAAACTCTGTGTTGTGTCGAAGTAGGCTTTTTTTCTGTAAGGGTCTATGTCTAATAATGGCACTTAGTCTGTTTACAAAAGAAAAATTGTGTTAAGACAAAACTTTCTTGCACACCCATATTTATTGTAGCATTATTCACAGTACCAAAGAGATGGATGCAACCCAAACATACATCAACAAACAAATAGAAAAACTATGGTACATTCACACAATTGAATATTACACAGCATTGAAAAACAATGAACTCGTAAAACATTACACAACATGGAGAAGCCTGGAGGACATTATGCTGGGTGAAATATCTCAGTCGCAAAAGGACTAACTATTCATAACACTGCTGTTAGAAAATAGGATGGGGAGGTGAGGTGGGTTGGAGGAGAAAATGGGAAAAGAGCGGCTAGATAATGCACACTGCATTGGAACAGGTGAGGAGAAAGGTCCTAAAGAAATACATGATTACTTGTTATATGTATGACAGTCTGGAACATGGGATACATTGGGGGAGGGGGAGACGGTTATAAAATGTGCAACACTCCGCCCCCACAGTGCATCCCATGTTCCAAATTGTTGTCATAATAGCTAACCATATATTCCTTCCAGACAGTTCCTGCAATGTTCGTTATATGCCCACTCTTTCTTTCCCTGTCTCTCCCCAACCCACTCTGCCTCCTCTCCATCCTATTTTATAACATAGGAATGTGCAAAGAGCTAGAATTACGGAATAAAAAGGGAATAACTTGTTCTGCATTTCTCAAGCTGAGAGAACTTGAGAGAAACAAATTTAAGCCTCATGTCACAATATTGAAAGATGCTATGGGAAATATATTAAATGACCCAGAAAGCATCAAAAGAAGATGGAAGGGAATACACAGAATCACTGTATCAGAAAGAACTGATTGGCACTGAAGAATTTCAGGAAGTACCATATGAACAGGAGCCAATAGTAATAAAGGAGGAAGTGGAAGCTGCATTGAATACATTGGCAAAAAATAAGGCCCCAGGAATTGATGGGATACCAGTTGACTTAGTACAATTAACAGATGCAGCCTTGGATGTGGAGCACAGCTGTCTGGCCAATGGACTGGAAGGGGTTTATATTTGTTCTCATTCCCAAGAAAGTTGATCCAACTGAATGTGGAAACTGTCAAGCTATACAATTAATATCACATGCGCAGGAGGGGAAGACCCTCTATGAGGTGGATTGATTCAGTGACTGGGATAATCGGGATGGGAGTGTCGGAGACAGTGCGATTGGCACAGGACAGAGCAGAGTTTAGGGCTGTTGTAAATAGGGTCGCTGTGAGTCACAAGCGACTTGATAACACATAACAACAACAACAGCAAGCAAAATACTGCTGAAGATCATTCACAAATGGCTAGAATAGCACATAAATAGGGAACTGACAGACGTTCAAGCAGGATTTAGAAGAGGCCACGGCACCAAGGATATTATTGCTGATGTCAAATGGATCCCCGCCCAAAGTAGATACTACCACAAGAATGTCTATTTGTGCTTTCTTGACTATGCAACGGCATTTGACTGTGTGGATCATGACAAGTTGTGGCTGACATTGGGAGGAATGAGAATCCCAGAGCACTTGATTGTGCTCATGCAGAACTTATACCTGGACCTGGAGGCTGTTGTACAGAGGCTCTGAGTAGCAGAGCACTGCAGGTTTAGAATTAGGAAGGGAGTGTGTCAGGGTTGTATTATCTCTCCATACATATTCAGTCCATATGCTGAGCAAATTATTCAAGAAGCTGGACTCTGTGAAGAGGAATATGGCATCAGAATTGTAGAGACACTCATCAATAACCTGTGTTATGCAGATTACACAACCTTGCTTGCTTAAAGTGAGGACGATTTGAAGCACTTGTTGCAAATTGAGGAATGGCGTCTTTGGTATGGATTGTATCTCAATGTCAAGAAAACAAAGATTCTTACCACTGATTGGACCAGTAGGCAACATCATGATGGATGAAGAAGAAATTGAAACCATCTACAGCTTCACCTTATAATTGGATCCACAGTTAACACCCTTGGTACCAGCAGTCAGGAACTAAGGAGACATACTCCATTAGGAAAATCTGCAGTTAGGGACTTCTCCAGATTATTGAAGAACAATGATGTCAGTTTGAGGACTCAAGTGCATCTGATTCAGGCCATAGTCTTTCCAGTCACTTGCTATGCATCTGAGAGTTAGATAATGAATAAGGATGACAGAAGAAGAATTGATACCTTTGAGTTTTGGTCTTGGAGAAGAGCACTGAATATCCCATGGACAGCCAAGCAAGAGAACAGATATGTCTTGGAGAGAGTGCAGCTTTGGAGTTGAGTTATGGCGATTTGATGGCACATAACTGTAATTTTCAATACATAGCAGTCCTTGCTCATAAACTAATGCATTCACTAGGGTCAGGGATTTTTGTCTGTTGTAGTCACTTTTTATTTTTAAATACAATTTTTATTTTATACAAGTTTCCTTATAAAGTTGGTGTACATTTTTTTTCACACAGTTGTGTTAACTTTTATGGCTTTCACTCCCTCCTGTTAAATTGGTTCTGACTCATCTCGATCCTTGATTGGTTTATGACACTGTAAATTGTAATAGGAGGAGATTGCACCTTTCTTTCGAAGAGCCATTGGTGGATTTGAAATGCTGGAGTTGGGAGATTTGGGGTAAATGGTGCTACTTAGCTTATGGCCTTCGGCCTTCACCACCAGTGCTCTTTACTGTAACCCTTTGACCCAAATTAGTGCTTGATTCACAGCTGGCATTCAGTAAATAGTCATCATTGGCTGAAGCATTTATTGAGAGTTTGTATAATTGTAGATGTGTACTGCAGTAAATTATTGTCACATCTGGTTAGTTACAAATTTTCTCATCTCCATTAATTTATTTTGCCTTTTCTTTTGCATTTTTTGCTTTTTTATTTCTCCTTGTGCTCCTACCACTAGGATGGTGGGGAAACTTATTAATATTGTAATCTTTTTTTTAATTTTTATTTTATTATTTTTGTGTGAGTGTACTGTCAAATCAGATCTGACTGGTACAGGAGGAGATTGTCCCTCCTTCCCCGGCAGAGCATCTGGTGGATTGGGATTGTAGTTGCAGCTCCTTGCCACTAGGCCACCAGAGCTCCCCAACTTATTAATATTGTTAATTGATATTTTGGTTTAATTTCACCGAGAATATTTGGGAAGGAAGGGGGTGTGTATGTGTGTGTCTTTGATTTCCTTTCTGAAAACTGAATAAGATGATTCGGTATTTTTTTAAGTAATCATTTTTTGAAACTAGTATTAGTTCTTGAGGAAATTGGAAAGGCGCTTACCCCAGTGTATATAGTGGCGGTTGTTGGTGTGCCCTCTGCCTCCGATGAAGCAGCTGGTAGATTCGAAGTGCTTCCTTCAGAGATAACTGAGCAGCTTCTTATCACTAGGTCAGGAGAGCTCCTTAGAATACAAACATCTAAAACCTGAAAATTTTAGAACCCCTGAGTGTCAGAGAGCGAGGTAAAGAGCTGTTGGACATAGGGTCGCTATGCAGCTCGATGGCACATACCAACCAACAAGAAGGTATGAGAAAGAGTGAGGAAAAGAAGTAGAGCACAGCCAACCTGCTCATTATTGATATCAGAAGCGGGCCGGTCATTCATTTTGGCATTGAGCATGGCTGCCTATCTCAGGGGGCCAGGACCAGGTGGGGTAGGGGTGGAGTTTTTTTTTTTCCTCCCTTCCTCTCTCAGAAAAGCTGTAGTGTTATTACTGGTTTTAAAAGCCTTGATCAACTTTTTAAGAGTGTTTTCCCCCTTCCCCCATCTGTAACCCTCCCGCCCCTTTGCTCCGCTTTCAAGATGCATTCCGATCTCCTGCTTCAGCCCCACTTCAGAGCCAGCATACACCCTCAACTGTGTAATTCGAATTATTCAGCCTGCATGAGTAAGTTTAATCTGATTTTTTTTAAGCTGGTTAAAATGATCCAAGAGACTTTAGAGAAGTGTTCGTTTGTTAGTTCACTATTTCACCACTTTTCGTTTAACCATATTAAGATGGAAAAACTTCAATCAGAAAGCAAGTTCCTACATAGAAAGACCCCTTCAGAAGGCTGGTCTCTTTAAGACCTGTGCTTCCAGGCTTTTGGTTTTGGTGGATGTGTGTTTTTAAAGTGTGTTGGTTACACTAAATAATATCCAGATGCCTTTTGAAAGCCGGTACCCGTTTTCTTGAGCATCTTTTTCATCTTACTGGAGTACTTTAAATGGATCCTTTCTGAGCTCGACTGCTCTTGTCTGACCCAGTCTCAAGTTTCCCTGAATGGTAACAAAGACTATAGAGTGTTGTTGGTACTGCAGGGAGAGAGGCATGCTTCCTCAGACCAGGTAAGGCGGATCGTTGTGTTTCCTACTGCCGGCTGAGTTTTCTCAGTGTTTGCTTTCTGTTCCTTAAAGAGCAGCAGTGTTAAACTGATAAGTAGGTAAGAGCATGCTGAAATCCTGAAGCCTGTGCTTGTTGCAAACAGGAAAACTACAGAACATGGGGGTTGGGGTGGGCTGGGGGGAGGGGTAGAGTTAGCTTATCATGAAGTAACTGTATAAATTCATTAAAATGTGAAAATAATTCTGGAGCGCAGCGTTTTTCATTCACGAACTAAAGAAGCAAGTCGAGGAACTGAACAGTTTTAAACGCTGCCTCATGGTTATTACTTTGAAAGCAATTAAAATGATAATCTTTACTTTGATTTCTTTTCTGTAGTTGGTAAAATAAACGTAGCCCTTAACCACATATTTACATTTAGAGAAAATTGAAATTATCATCAGCAAAGTATACTACCAGGGAATCTGTAGGAATAAACCCCTCTCTTAAAAAATATTTCAGCCTTTCCCCCCTCTTTCCTCTCCAGTACGTTTTTCTTAAAAGTATTTGTGCTTTGAAAATGTCAGCTGTATTCTAATGAAGCTCAGCCTTTGTTTGCTCATAAAGGGCCCGGTGCATTCCACTGCTTTATAGTTTTATTATGAGACCCCATGTGAGAGTGTGGGTGGTACCATTTGGTGTCTGCCTCGTGGGGCAGTGACTAGCAGTATGTTTGCCTGGAGGTTCTGGGGTGTGTGTGTGTGTGTGTGTGTGTGTGTGTGTTATAAAATGGATAGCATACAAGATCCTATATGAATCTGGAGTCTGTGAAAAAGAGAAAAAAAAATAGGAGTTCTGAGTGAGACTGGGATGTTGAGTTGATCTACAAGAGTCATTTTAGTTAAACATCAGTTACATCTCAGGTTTTTTGATGTATGTGGAATTTAGTTACTCTTTGAGCTTCAGTTTTCAAAAGCAAACCTTTACTGGGTAGACTGAGACATTTTAATCGATTTGGCAAAATGTTAATGAATTTTGTTAAGGAAAGTCTTGAGGGACTTGGTGTGGGGAGGGGCAGAGTGGCAGAGAGGGTCAGGCGAGGAGCATTTCTTTTCAGGGAGGAAAAGCCTTTGATGAAGAAGAAAGCAACAGATGTTTCTTCTGTTACAGTTGCGGTTGTTTCATTCAAAGCACAGTAGCTGGAATGGGGACGGGTGGGTGAACAGCTAAAGCAGAATAATTTCAAATTTACTGTTTATACTTGGGATTTGAAACTCAGTAATAGAACAAAGCATTTGGAGGGACTTGTGGGTTTGTTTGGTTTTTTACCCCTATCTTCAAACGTTATATGTAATTAATGAAAAAGTGGGAAAATTTCTTTTCGATCATGCAGTTTGGGGGGAAACTGGATCATGGATTGGAGAAGAATATTTTTAAAAATATTTTTAAATCATTATCAAATTCATAGAATTGTAATTACACAATAGTTACTAAGATCCAAAAATATTTGAAAGAAATATGAAATAAAAAGCATCAGCGCAAAGTCATCTTTTCTGAAAAGCATGGAACTTAATTCCAAAAGATCTTTGAATACGAAATGTGAAGAAATATTTTGGGCTTGACTGAAAAGATGTCTTGCAGTTTACCTTATAAAAAGCTAGTAAGTAAGCTTAGGGCTGTTACTAACGCCGAGAGGAATGGTGTGGAGGAGCTTGGAGGCAGCGTGCATGTAATGAGAGCAGCCAGCTGGGGGTGGGGAGCTGAAAGGTTTTGAATTTGTGGAATTCATACTGAAGAGAGTAAAACCCTTTTACCTTCCGCACGTACAGAAGCACAAAGAGAAATATAATGTATGTTTACTTGGGAAAAATTATTAAATCTGTAAGTAAGTGTACTAAATATACATTATATATCGCTTTAAGACATCTGAGTACTAGGATTTTACATGTGAAGTATTTAGTAAATTGTTGGAATACTTTATAAAAGTAATGGTAATTTGCCTAGTAGTTGAATAGCCCAAAATTCTTAGAACATTTGTGCATAGATCAAATGATATACAGCTTTCAAAATAATTTGTTAGAGAAGGTAAAATAACAGCATTCAAGGAAATTCTTTAAAGATGTCTCTTATTCTTAGCTTGCATGTGTGGGCTTCCTTGAGGATTTGCTTCAAGTAAAAGCAGAATTACAGATTCATTGTTTTGACTAATATTTAAGTGAGAGTTTTCAGTAGAGAACCCATTTAGTCAATGTACATTTTGCTATTTTAAGCGCTAATAGCATGTGACACTTGGATCTCTTCTTTCTCAGAAAAGTGAAAGAACTTACATTATTTAATATGGACCTACAAAGCACTTTTGACTAAAGTAAAAACGTGTATAATGTTGATCAAAGATTACATAATTTTTGATGGACTAGATAGCTTTGAAAAAAAAATTTAATGGCCTCATGGGTGAAATATAAATATGAGACCATTATGGATTGTAGTTATCAAAAAATATACTTCATAATTATAAACAGAGACAGTATAGAAAATTACTGTTTACCAGGGAAAACAGTATTGGCAGAAATGCAAAAATATTTGAGACCCTGCAAATTAAGAGTGAATCAGTTTAATTATTTTAAGATAATTCCCTCTGTCTCTGTAGCAGAAAATGATCGTGGAATCAATAAGTGTATGTTCAGATTATAATAGAGATAAAACAATTGTTTTTATTAAACTGTAGCTCTGGTAGCCTAGTGGCAAGAAGCTGCGCTGCAATCCCCAAGGCACGTGGTTTGAGTCTGCCAGCTGCTCTGTGGGAGAATGGTCTCTTCTCATGCAATTTCCTGCTTCTGCAAACCTGCTGGAGAACAGCTCTAGGTCAGTTCTGACTCAGCAGTACACAACAGTAACAGCCATATACTCTGTATACTCAAAAAACCCTCAAACTCATCAAGCTGTTGAGTTGTAACAGACCTGCCCTCCATGCAATTTCTGAGGCTGTAAATCGCAGGGGAGGAGATAATCCATTTTACTCCCCTGGAGTCACTGTGGATTCTAACCCCTGAGAGAAGCCCTGTTGCCTTTGGGCTAGTAACACAACTCCTTATGAACCAATTTCTAGTTTGTGGTAAATTTATACTGTACGTATGAGAAACCACACACATTTGAGTTTTGTTACGGAGAAATCAATTGTCAGCATCTGAACAGGGGGAAATCCCCCAATTTTCTAATTTTGCTGCCATTTAGCGGTAATCCCTGAAGTCTAATACACTCGCCAATCAGCAGTTGATTTATTTAAAATATTCAGGAGTAGAGGGATCTGCCATTATTGCTCTGATTATCAGTTTTTAGCACAGAACTGAGATTTCCGGGAAGTTCAGGAAGCTCTGGTGGCCTAAGTCCTTTGAGAGTTATCCTCCTAATCTGAAGGCATTTTTCTGGTGGGTTCAAATCCACCAGCAGCCACAAAAGAGAAAAATGTGCCATCTCCTCTCATGTGATTGACAGCCTCAGTTACCCAAATGAGAGGCAGCTATGAGTTGGTTCCGACTTAATGACAATGATACAGAAAGATGAGCTTCACCAAATCCTCCTTCCTTAAACCTAGAATCTTAAGAGAGTTAACTGAATTAGATGTCCTCTGCTTTACAGAAAAATGTAACAACTTGAAACCACATGTAATTGGGGTACAGCAAGAGAAATCATGTACCCCAGGCCTGTATTTTCCTGAACTTTTACTCTGTTGCTTAAGAGGAATAGTGTTTTGACTGTAGTCTCCCTTAACTCCATTTTGTGACGGAATCCAGAAACCCATTATATAACATTGTTTCACACTAAATTTCAAGCAACCAATTTTCAAATTACTTTTTTACATTTAAAAAAAAATTTATACTGATTTCTTTACAGAT